CTATAATTCCGTGCTGTCATTATGGGGTACTGAGTGTAGATTCATGAGGAAGAAAAAATAATTTACATAATTTTAGCATAAAGTTACAACAAGACAAATGGTTGAAAATTGAAAGGGGTCTTAATACTGTATATATTAATTTTCCAACTATTTATCCAATAGTGGGTCGTGATTTTTATAACCTTCTTTTTAATGAGTGTCAGTAATTCGGCAGGGTACGGTACACGAACTTCACTTCTTGGGGGCTTACGTGGAGTATACTAAAATCCCAAACACATAGACGATAGAAAGCATAGATAATCTATCCATCCATTTTCTATACCCACTGTCCTATGTAGGGTTGCAGAGTCCATCCCAGAAGCTATTGGAGAAAAGCAGAGAACAACCCAGTATGGGGCACCATTCACACTGACAGGCAAATGTGGCAACTCCAAGTGGCCTAAGCATGTTTCTGGACTGAGTGACAGAGGGAGAACATGCAAACCCCACAAACAGGGAGGCGGGGCAGAGACTCAAATTCTGGTCCCAAAAGTATGAGGCAACAGTGCTAATCACTGCCATCAGCCCACCTTAACAACAGCATGCAATAAAATTAGTGAATTCATCACTGAGTCAATCTATACCAAATGTACAGCTCATGACAAAATTGAGAGACCACTCTATATTTTTAAATCCTGGTTCTGCTGGCTGAAGGCTATACTGAGGCAGGCTGCTTCCGAGCTCAAAGTGTCTAAGACAGCAGCACACAAGAATAAGGTGAAGCAGGAGACACTGGGAACGACCAGAAACCAGCCAGGTCCAGGGCAGAAGCGACTCTCTAATGCCATAGATGACTGTCAACCTATCCGGCAGTGTCTCATAAATCAGAGGATGACCTCAAGTGACCTTCATAAAGAATGGGGAACATTAAGTGCAGGTGTGAAGTGCACTGCTAGGACATTTCGTATCAGGCTCCTAGAAGCAGGACTGGAGACCCATAAAGCAAGGAAGAAGCCCTTCATTAATGAGAAACAGGGAAGAGCCAGGCTGCAGTTTGCAAAAAATATATATATTATTCACAGGCGCACACCCACAAACTGAGTGAAACAAAAAATGTTGCTGTGGTCTCTTAATTTTTCCCAGAGCTGTGTATGCTGCAACGTAAAGAGCAGAAAAATCTGTCTTTATATCGCAAATTCCTTGTTTCCTGGTGGCACAGTGGTTAGGCTCTGGTGCCTTCCACCATCAGGGCTGGATGTGTGAAAACCACGTCCCCTGCGTGCGTGTGTGTGTGTGCGTGTGTCTGGCGTTTGCATGCTCTCCCTGAGTTGCGGGTTTCCTCCTGCGGTCCAAAAACATGCGGTTAGGCTAACTGGTATCTCCAGATTGCCTGTAAAATGTGAATGTGTGTGTGTGCCCTGTGATGGACTGGCATCCTGCCCAGGGTGACCCCAGCCTGGTACCATGTGCTGCCTGGGACAGACTCCAGGACCTCTGTGACCCCGACCAAGATAAGCAGGTAGAAGACGGATGGATGTTTTGACTTTTGGGTAATGAAAGAAAAAAATAGTAATATATTATCTTTACCTACAATAACATTTTAGTGTAGTTACAAAAGAGTCTGCCAGTGCACATTCGTAGCCAAAGAATGAGGCAGCGGGCACACAACGTGAAAACTTCAAAACAGGAGATATTTGCCAGTATCGTGGCTGATTTATGAGCACTTCAAAGGGGCTTTCCCTGCCTTTTCTACTGAACAAATATCCATCCGGTGTCATCGCCCCTCATCCAAGCTCATAAACTCCTGTCAGCTGCCGAATAACTCCGCCCTACGCTGCAGTGAAACGCAGGCTTTTCCTCACTTTTAATATGTGTTGCTGAACAAAAGGAGTCGTTAGTAACACAAGACCATCAAAACCCCCCCCCAGACTCTGCCCGATGGGGAGTATGAAAAGATCAAAAACAGTCTAACTGCTGTTTGATGAAATTTTCTTGGCTCCTTTCTAAAGAATTAATAGATAAAAAATAAAATCGCTAACCATTAACTGTAGCACTTGTTTTTTTCTAGCTGTTTGATGTACGTGACGTCAATATATCCGCTCAAAAATGAAGTGCAATATTCCCTCTGAAAAGTTTCTTGTGGAAGCAGCTTTTGTATCCCATTAATACTGTAAACAAGGCAAAACACATTATGTTTGTTGTGAGACGCTAATGTGACACAACCCAGCTACAAACGAAAACGATCTTCTGATTTACGTTAGGAAGTTCTAATGCATCACGCTACGTATAAACACAGGAATGACAAAACTGAGGACGTATTAGTAATGAAAACGTGAATTCAGTTGTCTGCACATGAAAAATTTGCAGTAGAACCCACCATAAAATTGAATGATGGTGGACCTAATTACGAAATGATTAAAGCCTTTTTATGTGTGAAGGTCAGTGTAAATTTCCTGGCGCATGAAGTGCCTATCCAGAAAATCAGGTCAAAACCACAGTGCATAATGGGAGTACTGTGCAACCAAGGCTACAGGCGCATTTAAACAGGAAGAGAACAGGAGCTATGGGCACAGCTGTCATTGTACATATTCATTGTGCCCTTATTCTGTATGCACCAGTGTTTTCTGCATTAAAAACCCAAGAATGGTCAGCGTCCAATAAGACGTGTGAACAGATCCGGCATTAAGAAAGGTCGAAATGTAATTGGACAAGGAGTGTCCCTATTGTAATATTGTAACTGATACTGGTAATGATAGAATGCTACAGAACACTAATTAATGAACTATGGATGGTGCTGATGGTAATTAATAGAAATAAGTAAATGAGAGAACATTTTAAGGACTGTGTCACAATGACGTTTCGTGGACGTACCGTGGTGCTGATGGCATCAGGCGCGGACTGAGGTGTGGCTCTGTGTCTGAGGTCCAAAGGTTTCAATCCTGTGTTTGGTAGAGTGATTTCACAGCTGGGCCCATGATCAATGACCATAACCCTCATTTGAACCGAGGACCAGCGGACCCCCCCCCCCCTTTTATAACACTCCATTATATGTTGCTTTGGGTAAAAGTGACTGCTGCTCAGAGGTGAAAGAGCAGGACTAATCAGAAACACCGGAGTCACCATCCTCACACAACATACGTCTTCCTGGGTGCAGGAAACTCCGCAGCACAGTTTTGGGGGGGGGGGGGGGCTATTCAGGAGGAATAAAAGGCAATACGAAAAACAGCCCCATGCCACAACTGTATTTTACCTTATGGGGATTAAATTTTATACTGGAAATGAAACATACGGCAATCAGCGTCTGTACCCAACAGCAGGAATATAAAGGAAAGAATTACAGAAGAAATTATAATTAATCAACATGGCAAACTGTACATGTTTTTGTGTTCACACGGAATTACAAGATGTACAGAAACATTAATTAAATAAGAAGAAAACAATTCTTAGGTGCCAATCTAAACACCACCAAGATCCTGACATGAAGGCGCATAGACCACTGGGTGGGTCTGGAGCGTGGCAGCCTCCCTGCGGCCACACAAAACAGCCTCTGTCCTCGCCGTTAAATTATTAAGTCTTAAACCTTTTCCCAAATGCAAATCCACACACATACCCAACTCACTTACTCACACATAAACACACACAGACTCACAGAGACATGCACTCTTTCTCTCTCACACACACACACAAATACGTCTGTATTCATATATTTATGGGAATTTCTATAGGAAAAAATCCTAATCTCAGCAATGATGACCTTAAGCTCAACCCAGCCCTAACCTTAACCATAAGTAACCAAACAAAATATAAGACTTTCTGCATTTTTAATTTTTTGATTGCAGTCATGGATTTTTATGAAATTGAGCTTCATCTTGTGGAGATGAAAAAATGGTCTGCACTACATCAAAATAACAGTTTTTTTTCACACTGTGAGGACATTTGGTCCCCACTCTGTAATATATACAGAACACACACACACACACACATACTCTCTTGTGGTGGCATAGAAGGGACAGAAGGGGTGACTGGGGGCCTCAAACTGCCCCCCGTGCATGTCAATAAGAGGAGTCCAAGATGACTTTCTGGGTGCTTTGATCTGCCGAAGTGTCGTCACTTAAAGGCAAGGGGGGTGGGGGCATGCTGCGGGGGGGCTTCATTTCGCTGTACCTGGCACTGTGCGTCAAAAAGGCGGCAGCCATGCTCTGATCCTCATACGGGGGGGACGAAAAAAAGGTGCAAGAAATCACATTCAAACAGCTTCCTGTCATCAGGAGAGCAGAGAGAGGTCTCCTTATCTCCTTACACGCAGAGAGGCAGCGGGACCGTGCCACTTCTTACGTTTCCACTTAAACGCCCTCTAAGCTCATAGCAAGCTATCACAGGCATCACGCGCCTTAGAGCCCATTAGCCAGGCCCACGCTGGCATTACCGCCGTACATATTAAATAGCCGCACGCGTTGGCAGCTCACCGGGGAGCGACAGGAAGCAGAAATAGTCAGCTCAGATCCTAATCCAAGCAACTGAATCCCGAAACTTAATGCACACACAACTGGGGACATTTTATCTGTGTTTGTCAAACTGATGACATAACAGATGTTCTTCTGTAATAATGATACTGTACCATGTGATCTGACAGTTGGAGGTGGGATCCATGCATATTTATGGTTGAGATATGATCAAAATACAAGATGTATCACGTATCATCTCACACACTGATGATACTCTATAAAAAAAAACCTGTAGGTCAGAGCTGAGAACAAATACTGAATGTTTCATGCAATGTATGCATATATTAAGTATGTTTGAAACTTAAGAACAGGCAGAATAAAGGTTTCTTAGGGTTGACTTAACTTAGGCAATATTCCTTTAGGTTGACTCCTTAACTTTGCCTTACCAATTCCGAATATACACCTGGGTTTACTCTATAACTTTATTTATGGAAAATACGCTGGATTCCTCAGTTTATGTGTTAGATTACCCCCCATGATTAAGTGAAGCTCTCATCACCAAAGACAGCTAGGGTCTGTACCACACTGCCCTCTGGTGACAGCAATGAAAATTTATTTGCAGTAATACAAGTCAAATTGAACAAACTTGGAAAGTGAAAAACAAATATAAACTGCAGATCACATTTGAACAAATTAAACTTATTAACAGTTATTCGAAATGAAGAGGAGCCCTTTGCAGTAGCACCAACATGAGCAAATTTTGTTTCTTTGGCTGGTAAATTTCTACTTTTCGAATGACTGACTTTGCACGTCAAGCTTTCAGCACCAGACGGCCAGCCTTCACTTCTTTGATATTGCATTGAAATTAGCGAACATTCTGGTGCACATCTCCTTCTCCTTGTCTGCAGAGTCCTTGAGGCAGCTATAAAACGCAAAGCAGCCATTAATTCGCGGTAATAACAGGGAGCAGTGTTACTCATACCCACCTGTACGCTATTTCTTTTAGCGCAAACTAAAACTTACGCTGCAAGCTTCTTCAGCAAGTTGTTGATGTCATTGTTAAAGGGCTTCTGGGCCTGAGCCATCAGAAGAAAATCTTGCGCCTTTTCGTAGTCGCGCATTTCCAGACAGGCCTGCGGTAAAAAGCAACGCTAAAAGAGGAAAGGAAGTCGACACTGCGACTGTAATCCTCCTCATTAACGAAGACATTCTTGTTTTTCCTGTTGCTTCAACAATTATTAATCAGGAGGCCATAGCAGCCTAAGAAGTATACAATTCTGGAAAGTGAAGATCTCAGTTAGCTCAGAAAGGAGCTGACCTGACCGCAGCGGAAGAGGCCCTTGGCGTTGTGCGGCTCCACATCCAGAGCCTTTTGGCCGTATCTCAGGGCTTTGACGGGCCTTTCCAGACGCAGCAGGGCCAGCGACAGGTTCAGAAAGGTAGGCAGCTTCATGGCTGCAATGCTATTCCTCTCCCCCTGATCAGCAGCTTTACGGTTTAGCAGCAGAGTCAATGCCTGCCCGTCACCACGCACAGGAGAGAAGCATGAGCGCCGGCAGAGGAATCGAGGCTGCCTTTATAACACAAGCAGCGCCATCTACTGAACAGAGGCATTCAGCACTCATACAAAGTCATGTTACAGGCAGAATAGATTTGATTAGAAAAGGAAGAAGATTAGATTATATCAGATTAGACTAGATTTGATTAGATTAGATAAACTGTATTAATCCCATGAAGAAAAATTCAAGTGTTACAGCAGCAGCTAAAAAAACAGGGTCAGACAATACACACAACATTAGCGCACAGTATGAAAGGACATAAATACAACGTACTGTATACAAACAAGCAAATGGAGGCCAAAGTCTAAGACCTGGATTGTACTGTGCAAAGTGACGAGTGCCAGAATATGTAAACATAGGTCATGATCTTAGGTGAAGTTAGAATAGTGTAAGAATAGAATAGAACAGAATTTCACATCTAATGGCTCTGAGATAGCAACCTGGGGTAAAAGAGTATCACCAATGCACTAACAGTGCTGAAACTATTGTAAAATTTAATAAACAAAGCACCCAAAAACTTCAGACTATCTTCCGCTACCTTCTTGTAGCGCTCCTTGGCGTCCCCGTAGCGCTTTTGGTTGAAGCATCGATTTCCGAAGCCAAGCTCTGTGTTGGCGACTTTGAGCATGGTGGACAGAGCAGCGGTGTTCTGCTGCTCCTGGAGATGGGGGGAGATTTAACAGCCCAAAATGAAACGTGAGCAGCCCACGGCATCACCACTGAAACAAACAAACAGACCCCCCAATTTGTGTGTGAATCTACTGCTCTGCATTCCACATAAAGCCCAAAGGCTTGGGAGATGTGGTCCTCATAGGTATGAATCTGTATTACTTGGTTGCTTAAGTACAATTAAGCTATTAAGCTCTCCTCATAAATATTATGAAATGGACTTTGAAAGTGTGAAACCTCTTCCTTAAGAACACTAATGAATGTGTTTTTAATGGGCAATAAGAGTTTAGTGAGCATCTGTCTCACCGGGGTAAGCGCAAAAAATTCATCGGCTTCAGCAGAGTCCAGAAAGTCAAGGACCTGCACCTCGTACAGCACGGTGGCAGAAGGGGGGATCAGCGGAGGGCAGCCCATCTCCCCGTAGGCGTATTTGGCCAGGAAAAGAAAGCGGGAAAATTCACCCTTCTTCATCGTCAGGAGCCCCAGCTCCAGACCAGGCAAGGTGACGTCTGTGGAGTATCAGGAAAACATAGTTACAGGGCCTCTGGACGAGACTCAGGAGAAGAAATAACAGAATATCCTCCAGAAGAAGACAAACCTCTTCCTAGCTTCATCATCGGTGGATGTTTTGAGCGGTTGTTAGATTCAAATGGCCGATCAGAATACTCCAGGTACCCAGAGAAATGAACTACATACACAGAGATTAATGCAGTGAAAACATCTACAAAACAAATCGTGATGGCAGTGCAGTGCGTTCATTCATAAGCTGGAAATGTCGTACTTCCACGAAAGCCCTCATTCTGACAAAACAAACAGGCCATACCATCATGCAGACGCTAGGAGCACAAAAATAATCTATAACACATATAAAATGAACAAACCTTTGAATATCAACATCTCACATTTTTGAGTGCAAATTACAACTGGTAATAAAAGTTAGCGTGCACACGGCACTTCTGAGATATGAATAAGTGTGTAAGACATTAGGGACGTGAGTTACTTAGCACCGAGGCGTCCATTGGTATCAATTGGCCCTCCCCATTTTGGATAACCTCCTTCAAAACTCCTCGATCCCCAGATACATCTTGCATTTGCAGAGCTAGTCGTTGAAACGGGCTCTGAAACATGAACGGAACACCACAATTTTTATTTCCACCCACACAACCTTACAAAGGCTTCGAGGTCGCACATTGCCTCGCTTAGATGAAGGGGTGAAAGAGCGCCCGTGGCCTGTACTACGAAGCGGGGTTTCTGGCTTATCGGGGTAACTTGTTGGATTTAAGGTAGTCTGGGCAAAATGTAAGTGAGCGAATATGAAGTTCATTTAAACTGTGGTACCTTAAATCCGACAAGTTACCCCGATAAGCCAGTAACCCCGCTTCGTAGTACAGGCCACCGTTCGCCGCGGTGCTCTGCTACCTGCACGCCTACTCTCTGGAGCTCCACCGGGTTTAAAAACTGCTGGATTCTGGAAGACAGCCCGTTTGCCGACATCCTGTTTAGTGCAATTATTGCTCTTCCAAAATGCACATATACGTCAGGAGAAGAGCGATCTTTCATCCAGGCCGCCTTGACATAACTACCTCGCGCGCCTCCGTCGCGTGACACGTGAAAGTTTAGGGGGGAACGTCAGTGTGAAAGGCATAGAAATTTATATCCAGAAGGGCAAAACACGGCAGCTGTAAAGGGGATGTCGGTATCGTAATAGTTATTATTATTAATAATAATATTATTATTAATAAGAATAATATTATTATTTAGAGAAATTGATGTTTCATATGTAACGTTTATTACGTTTCATTTATATTATACAGTCTAACTTGCAGTCTAACCACAGTTTAAATACTTATAGGCTACATATGTGAGTCCACATTACCAAAAAGCTGAATTGCAGAAACGGAAGTGAAAGAAAAACCAAAAGCAACAAATATTATTATTATGATTAAGCTGTTTATTGTAATAATAATAATAATAATAATGAATTTCTGTACTAGTATCTGAAGAAAAAGAGCTCATAATATTACAATATCGGTTTTATCAGCAAGGGAGTAGCTTTGGCCACAGACGGCGCGGACACGTTCGGCGGGGGTCGCGGCTGGTTTGGTCCCGGACTCCCTAGCAATGTCGGAACCACACGTACGGCCTTGCTTACCAGCGATACGAACGCTCCTGACGTCTGTTTACTGTTTAATAATAGCTCTCGCGAATATCACGATAATACATAGGCCTAACTAATAAACAACGTTATTATCAATACATTCGTTTTCCATAGGGTTATACCGTCAAAATTACTTTTAAAGTTATTGTACGGGAAAACATGACCCAAAAAATGAAATATGTGGTTGAGAATAGGTTCAATAAATTGCTCTGAAGATGTCTTTTTCGCTCTCTGTCTATCTATCGATCTGAAGATTTTCCTGCAAACTTTGACATGTTACTTGGGTGAAAGGGAATATCTAAAGTAGACATTCAAATTCAGAAATAGAGCTGTTCTAAAAAACTCTATGTAGAATGGGAACACTTTCTTTGAATTTCAGGTGGTATATATAATGTTATATTTGTCATTTTCATAATTATTGAGAAAAAAGTCACAGAACAAAGAATATGAACGTACGGACTTACGTGTACCAGTTACTGTAAAAAGACAAACGTTTAAATATATTTTTTTGATATTTTTTTTTGTATTGTATCTAAAAAAAATAAATGAAGAGCTCCCAAAATTATGGCGGTCAATTTTAAAGCCTTTCGTGGCCTATTTAACATATCATGTTAATAAAATAGCAAGAACAGGACACATATCACATTTGGCCCCTTGAGCAAGGCCCTTAATTGGATAGGGAAGTGTTTCCCAATACAGTCCAAGGGGACTCTCAGACAGTCCATGTTTTTGCTGGCAGGGAGCAAAAATGTGAAGCGAATGAGGATCCCTGAAGACTGGATTGTGAAACACTGGGGCAGGGACACTGGATCTATGGCTGACCCTATACTCAAACCCCAGGCTGTGGCATCTATTAAGTGTGCCTCTTAGGAGAGGAATGTGGCATGTGAAAACTAGAGAATTCCTATGTACCTGTGCGTGTAATATCATCATCATCATTGTGATCCATAATCAACCTGTACTTTATTTTCACAATTAAGTGTAAATCATCTTGTCCCAGGTGCTATGATGCCTGTGACTGACTTTAATCCCCCTGCAAATCGGGCCAGGTTAAGTTTTTAGGGGGGATTTTAATGATGAATATCAATTTTCTCAAAGGGTGTTTCTCAACATGCGTTCTTGACCGTACTTGTGTTCTCCTGTACCCGCTTTACGTCATCTTCCACTGCCAAAGACCAGTTGCAATACTAAGAACACAAGTTCACGAGGATGGTAAAAATCCCTGGATGCTGGTCTTGCTCCGCCTCAAATATCAGGTTGCTTTTGCTGCATCCTCGCAGAATGAGACCAATCCCATGATTCATTGCACCCCAAGTTCGTTCTTGGAAGGCGAGTTAGCAAGTCCAATCTTGCAAAGATCACAAGTATGGTCTTTGCATTCTTGGTGTTGAGATTCACCTACAGTTTTCACTGTGCCTGACATCTGATGCCATCATAATAAATAGTAATTTGATTATTTTTTCCCCATGAACAAAAGTCTAGCTAGGCGACATTCTTCATTCTGTTCCTCAGTCTTGGCCTCACATATTTCATTCTCTTCACTGGTTCAGACAACAGAAATGACACTTATGGTTTGTCAGTTTCATATTTTTATCAAACTTTTTATTAGTGTTTTGCAGTCATTGGTTTGCATCATTGTACCGTATATTTCTGAAGCATTAAGAACAAACATTTGCACAGAATCCTCAAAAAAAACAGGTCAGACTGCTTCAACATAATTTAAATACAAAAATAAAATCAGTATATAAACAGATTAAAATTTACCACTGATGAATATTGTACACATTTATGTCTTCCTTCCAAGGAGATTCTCTTACAGGAAAGAGCCTTCACCTTGGTTTATGACTTAAAGACATTTGGCTCTCGCATTTATTTAGTTTTTCCGAGGAGCTCTTGAATCCCTCAGTGAGCAAACCAGACTCTGAATTTCAGTTGTCATTTTAAGATTTACAGCGACCTGGGCCCCTTGTTCCTTTAACTTTGTGTGGTTCAACTTTCTACATTTCACACCCTCTCCAATGATCAACAATTATCTAGATAATGTATTTAATCATCGGTCTCGAAAATTATGTCTAAAGGCTATCATGGATATTCAAGTTTAAGATACCAAGTAAATGAGTACGTGTCTTAAGTGATAGGATTAAAACATGCACACACCTGGACCAATTCCCACACACACCTCTTTCCAAAGCCACGTTTTGGAAAATTGCTAAGTTAATTCAGAAACTAGATTTTATTCTAGGAAATATTCTATGTTCTATCTAAACACACAAATGTACCATTTGTGAAATTTGCATGACAAAACTGTATAAAGAAGCTTCTGTGATGGAAAACAAACAAAAAAAAAAAGACACACAGTTGGATCACAAGAGAAGTTAGTGTTTGATTTTTTCCCCCCACACATCCACTGAAGCGATTCCTGAGTATTGATTGGTTGAATGTGCTGGTTTTGTGAAGTCAACGTCAGTCATACATTTATTGAAAAGTAAGAGGCTACGTCATTCAGTCAGACTGCCAAAGCTTCATTATGATTCATCACGTTACATTTCTACATCCGTGGGAGTCCAAGGCCTCCACTAAGCATAGTGTTCCGATTTTGTAGGCAGCAAGATACACCAAGGACTGCCGCCTTCTGTAAAAAGCTGAAAAGCATCAGTTACACGCTTTACACACCACAAAAAAATGAAAAAGTAATAATTTAACTGAGCCTCAACATTGCTTATTAGAAAGTTTCCAGTTTGCCTGCTTAAAGGCGAAATACAATGTATCATCCATCATTCATACCAAAGCTACCATGTGTTGTTTGCATAAGCATCACTGATTATACATAATTCTAGACGACTGAAAAGATATTGTTCATTACAGCATACATAATTTTTTGCAGAAAACAAATATATTAAATATTATATGGAACTAGTAAAAAGTACCAGAAATGAGTTATTAAATGAGAATTATTTTGTTCCTCAGAAGAGATCTCACATTGGTTCAGGCAGTCGGCAGATGTACCGTACAAAGTTAAGTACTCAATGAGCTTCAGGGCACTTGTTACAAAGGCAGTGATGGTGGTGCGGGCTTTGAGATGACATTTAGCCACAAGAAGAAATCGCCCCTAACGGAGATAAGACCAACATCTCAAGTGACAGCTACCTTATTCAAGTGGCAACGGCTGCAGAGCTTTTTCAAGGTGCTTAAATTATTGACGTTACACATGTTAAATCTGTCCAGCCAATGACAAACATAACAGTCTGCCTGTGTTTCAGTGCATTTTAGTTTGTCTTTGTGGTCACCTCTGGTATCTTGAGTGTGAAATGTAACTGATCCTGGACTTTTAGATAGGTAGCCAGGCAACACGGCTGAGGAAACATTTGCAGTTCAGAACTGGGAAGATCAACACTGGCTGATTTTTGCCTCGCAGTGTAGATGCTGGAAAAGACTAAAAATGTTTTATGGAAGCACCAGTTTTTCTACCTGCAACAATAAGGTCAGCGCTGAGTAACCCAGAATAAAATATTCAGAAGAAAATCAACTGACTGCTGAACATAAGCGGGGATGATCGAACTGGTGCCACAGAGATGGCCAACCAAAAGGATTTCATGGGTTTGATTTAAGCAAGGGAGCAGTACCCTTAGCAGACTTCTTCCCCCTGTTGTGTTCACTAAACTCCTCTGCGGTGTTGTTGCCCTGATCTATCACTAGCTTCAGTACTGTTCAAGTTAGCAGCAATGAAACAGGGTGTCCCTGTACCTTGCGTATTTAGAAAATTAAGTAAAAATTAGCACTATACAGTCGCACATGCCAACTCGAATGTTGAAGTGTACTTAGATTAAATAAAAAATAGCATATTTTTACAGCAAATCAGTGTAATTACAGACTTGTGCTTTGTGGTTAATGTGGCTCGGGGTGAGGGTGGTGGTTCGTAAGGGAAACAGACACCCAGAGACGTGGACAGAACATGGTGGCAGGTCTGCCTGTCACTTGCTTGCAGCTTTGCTGTGTCAGTTCTGGCGGGGCCCCCTGGTGGCCACGTCAGGACCTGAAGACGTGCACGGCGCGCACCACGTACTGCCTGCAGATGGGGCACTCGCTCATGCGCTTGCCACACTTGCTGCAGGTGACCATGTGACCGCACTCCAGCAGCACGCAGTCGATGGGGGAGTCCATGCAGATTTTACACAAGTTCTCCTCCTGACTCTTGGGACCAGCTGAGTCTGGGGCAACAGCAGAGATGAACGGTTCTGTTAGAAGCAGCCGCAATGGTATGTGCAATTTAATCTACGTGACCTGGTTTCTCAACTAGGCATTGCAGAAAACACATTTGAATGAACGAGCTGGAGTACTTCTGGGATCTACATTCTCAATGTACAGCTAAATGGGATAAGTGTTTCTCTTGCTGCTTGAAACTGTCAAGCAGATTATAATCAAACATCTTACAGGTATCATACTAAATTTCCTCATCAAAAAAATAAATCAC